ATAGATTGAAGCTGAAGAATCTTATGGAGGTACCTAGGACACAAGTTGTCTATGTACACAGAAAGAAAAACACTTCTGGAAAACAAGACACACATCCAGGAGCATCAGCTATTATGTCACATGCTTCCATGAGCCTGAAGTGGAGGTATGAAAACAGAAGACTGAGACTATGAATGCCCAAGGTGGCTCTCAGGAGCTTCCTCTCCAGGAAGAGGGAGGCGATTGACAGCCTGAGGCCAAGCATGTTGGCACAGACTCATGTCTATGACAAAAGAATGGGCTCCACCTTTTGCACAGAGCAGGGGCACTGCAGAGAGGGGAGAGAATAATGTGTGCTGATGATCAACAACTGGAACCTCTCAAAGGGAAGCACCCAACTGAGCTATGGCTGGGAATTTTAGGCCCAGTAAGCATTTCAACAGGGACTGAAGAGAGGGCTAACCAATGGAATACAGAGAAAATTCTCAACTGCAAGTGCATCAGTGAGGAGAAAAGCATAATTGAACTCAAAAGAGATCGGACAGATGGAAATAAGAGGAAATAAGGCAGAGAAGGGGTATGTGGAGATGTACTCGTGTGTCCACACAAGAGCAATCCTTCTAACAAGATATTTGTTCTGTGGCAAGAACCCGAAGAAAGGTAAGGTCACATCAAACCTGGACAGGTGTCACAGGAACTGAAAGTGCACAACATGGAAATGACAGGGGAACACAGTGAGCATCCACAGTGATATAACAGCCAACTGACAATATCGAAACCCAACTCTAGTCCAAAGAAACTCGAGTTCGTATATTTACATTAAGAGAAAGGAACTGAGTCACCCAAAAATTCAGAGCAAGATCTGTGGACTCTAAACCACGGCATACATTTCACAGGTGGGAGGTAAGATGTCGGATGAACATTCTTTATCTTAATGGTTACATATTTATTTTAATGTATACTTGAGAATAACATGGTGAGACCATCAAATTCATGTTTTTAGAGATTTTACTGAATAGGATGAGGCCATGTAAAGAAGGGAGTGGCTTTAAAATTAATTTTTTTTGCATTTCAGTAATCCAACTTTATTAGACTGAACATTTACTTCAAAAACGCAGAAGAATCATACAAAATGAACATACCTGCACATAATAATCATAGCTGAACATGTAAAGAGAGAATGATCTGATATTACAGAGAAGTAATTCTCTTCTCACATAGATAATGGGAACAGGATAATTAATAGCCTGAAAATCACAGTCAAAGGAGATTAGTGAGACTACTGAGGTCAGAAGTGATGCAAGTTTTCCATACAATGGCCGGGACCAGACTTCATGACCAGCTGAGCAGGGTGACTTTTAACCAGCATATCCAGAGAAGCCAGAGCATCACAAAGAAATATTCTCAGAAAGGAAATTTTTTTTTCCAGCTTAAATATTCCCTTTGCTGGCATTTTTACCCCATATTCAGGTTCAAATGCTCACTTTCAGGATGTACCTCTAAATCACTCTTCCAAATAACCTTTGGAAACGTTACATAGAATCTCAGGAGTTTAAACTTCTTTTGTCACAAATGCAATTCATTCCCTCTCCTTTCTTTTCATAGCACCAAGCTTCTCCCAATGACTCAAATTTCAAAATTCCACATTCTTCTCCTTTGTTTCCTACATATAACACATTGCAAAATTAATTTTCATATTCTCTTTTTTTCTCTGTGTTCCTCCCGCGATCTTTCTTTCAGATTCTGTCAAGAATTGGTAACATAATGTTGTAGGAAGACCATAGGTTTGCAGACAAATAAACCTCATTCTGAATCCATTGCCCTCTCTCTGTTATATGATTCTGCAAAATAATTTCATTTTTCTAGGCCTCGACCTTAGCATCTTTAATAAGTACCAAGCATAGCATAGCATTAAAAAATGGTTGTCCTGGATAGATGTGCCATCATCTCATTGGTCTATGGGTTCGTTTATTTATTCTTTTAAAAAAGTGTAGCAAGTGTCTACTATAAACTAGAAACTATGTTATGCACTGAAGCTTTACCAATCAATTTAAAGAAATGTATTAAATGACAGCATATGAGTTATGTGTTTGTCAACCAAAGAGTGAACGAAGGTTTATGCAAATGATTTAAGTTTGGAAGGAACTGAGCTAGATATCGAAAGTTCCCTTAAACTGAAAAGCATCACCCTACGGAAATACACATTTTTTTTTCTTTTTTTTTTTACCCACAAAAGACCGGCCGTGTTTATTTGTACTTTAATTCTACAGAGTAAACTCAGCAAAGTGCTTTGATAAAGGAGCCTTCTGTCTTTATCCACAGATGAGACAGAGGGAAGAGTCAGGTGTGTGAAAACGTGACAGTGCCCTGTCACCTGCTCATCTCACAGTGAGGGGTGGCTGGGTTACAAGCTGGGGTGGGGTGCCAGCAGAACCTGCCAGCTCCTGGCCAGTAACCCACCCATCCTATGGTACTTTCCAAGCCAGCTTGGATATCGTTCTAGTTTCTTGGGAAAAAAAAGGTTTTCCAAAACAAACTATAAAAAGTCTATGTATATATGCCCGCCTACATACTTTTCAATGAAAACATTTCTTCTTTGAGAAAGGGAGGAAAGCTAAGCACCCCTCAAATATCCGAGGTTCCATTCCGGTTTCCAGGGAGCATTTTGTAACATTCAGAGGAAAGACAGGCTGCTTCACTGTCTTTCCGTCTTCCATCCTTCTGTCCACTGTCTGCAGACTGATACATCAGCAGCTCGTTCGCCGGCTTAGGTCTGTCTGTTCTCACATGTCCTTACCTTTCATCCTCTACCTCATGTGATCAAATTAATCTTGGGTCAAGATCTAATTGATTTTCTCCTAATCTCTATCTTTTTTCTAACATGCTCCCAGGATATGCTTTGAGATCTCTTCCAAAGCTGCTTCTGCTTCAACCTAACTGTCTGATGGGTCCTAATCTACACTGTCCACTGCTTAGTCCCAAACGTCAGGTGACCGTGGCTCTCCCAGCACCGTGAGAAATACATCACCCCACAGCCCAATGCCGTTCTTGTTCATGGTAGGTATGGGGAGACCAGTCCTGTTCCCAGTGTTCCCTGCTACACTCAGAGGGGCCCAGGCCATGTGCAGACCAAAGTGAGAATAGCCCAAGCCACATATTTAAGAGGAACACAGTCTATTGTTTAAAGGGAACTCAACCCCATAGGGGTCAAAGCCCTGAAACTGTGCATATCCTCTGACCTAGAAATTCCTCCAGGAATTTAGCTTAAGGAAATGATCATGCCTGTGAAAAGATTTAGCTACGAAGATAACAGTAGCTTTACTCATAAAAGCTAAATATCTGAAACAACCCAAATGGTGCTAAATTCACCAAGGTCTAGCCATTTTATGGGACAGTATGACATCTTCAAAAGTAGTGATGGTCTGGGGACAGCGAAGATTTGTTTTCAGAATGAAAATGAAAGCCATTACTTCTGAAATACAGGGGAGAAAAATGTTTTTTGTTAAAAAAAAAAAAAGAAAGATTGTTTTGGTGACAAATAAGAAGATGCCAATCCACATATATATTTTCTCTCCTCTTCAAGGCCAAGTGATTCATTCTTCTGCTCTGTGTCTTTACTGTGCTTCATAAAGGTTAACAACAACAATAACAACAACATCCCCCCAGCATTTACTGGGCACTTACTCTGCACCAGGTACCATGTGAAGTACTCTAATCTGCACAACAAACCTATGAGGTAGAAACTGTTACCCCTGTCTTCCAGAAGAGGACCCTGAGGCCCTGGGATGCTAGGTGACTTGCCCGCGTCATGTGCAGCCAGAGATGGCAGACACAGAACTAGCAGCCAGGCAATCTGGTGCCAGGGCGTGCTCTCTCAACTGTCCATGTTCTGCAGCCTCTGTGAATGGACTTCTCTCTCCAAGGGCGGTGATCATGGTGACTTACCGCTATCTATTATTCACTTATCTATTCCCCTCCCTCAACTGTGAGCACCTTAAAGACAAGGTCTGATGTTTATATTCCCAGTCTCTCGCAGGCAACATGCAATTGTCGGTTGTGTGAAAGAACGAGCCTTGGTATTTGTGTGTGATTAAACAATAACTAGTAATAATAGCAGCAGCTCTCAGCTATCAGCCCTTGCCAAGTCCAAGACTTGTGCCAGATGCTTAAATGTAAAATTTTATTTACTTCCTAACAAATCCCTATAAGAGAGGCACTCTTATCCCTACTTTACAGATGAGCAAACAGAGGCTGAGAGATGGTAAAAGGCTTGCTTGTGTGTTGCTGCTGGCGCGAGAACCCAGGTCTGACAGGACTCCAGGCAGAGCTTGAGCTCTCAACTCCTACACTACACCACTCAGCTGCCTTATTCCAGAAGCTGAAACAAGCCTGAATAGTTTAGGGCCCAGTCACCTGATAACTGCAAAGAACTCCATTCTGACATGAAAAAAGGACTCCGTAAAACTGGGGTGATAACAGTGTGCTGCTTGGAACAAAGAGAGTGTTATTCTCTAATTAATTCATTCAATAAGTTCACCCATTTATTAAGTGTCCACTCCATGCCAGGTTCCGTGAGAGGTGGAGTAGCAGGATGAGAAAAGCCAGGGCCTGGCCTCAGAGTCACATTCAAGTGGGGCACGTTACTCGCACTAATAAGCATTTAATGACAAACTGAGAAAAGGAAACTGCTTCTGTGGGAGCCGCTAACCAAAGAGGGGCCAAGGCAGTGATGCCAGAGCTGAGCTCTTACTGTGTCACAGGAGGAAACAATGCTCAGCTGTTTGCCCAAAGAGAGAATCCTGCACAGCAAGTGGCCCTGGCCTTTCATTTTCCTAACACTGTTTCCTGTCCTACCCAGGCTTACTCAGCAATGAAACCGGGGAGGGCCCAGCCACACACCATCCTCAAGGACACACAGGACAGCAGCACACAGAAAGGCTGGAGACGTGCACCCTGAGCAGGTGGGAGGCAGCACAGGACATCTCTTGAGCACCTTGCTGGCCCCGAGCCATGGGACTCACGTTTTTCTGCTGATTGCATGGCGTGAAAGAGTGTCAGGGGCCTCTCGCTGCAGGAAGGGGGCTTGGAGTCACTGCTCTTCTTCCGGGACAGGTGCAGCTGGGCATTGGTGAGAGGTGTATCAGGCACGGTGTTAAATATCTGCAAGTAAAGTTGCATAGAAGGGTTACACACTGCTGTGAGTGGGGGAGCAAGCCCTAACCAGCGCAACTGAAAGCTTGGTGGTATCAAAGAATCAGCAAGAAAACCCGAAAAGACCACCGGCATTAGCTCAGGACTTCATTTGAAACATCTCTCAGAACTGGCACTAAACATTTTCTTTCGGAAGTGATTCTCAGAGTTTGCCGACCATTCACTTCCATTTCTAGCCCCTTCTGCTGTCACTTTCACTGGTCCTCCCTCTGTTGTACTCTCCAGGGGAACGAACTGTGCTAAATATAAGCCATTGTCTATTAGTAGGGCTTTGAGTGTTTTGACTACCTTTGTCCAGAACCAGTTCATCAAAACCCTTTACTTTTCCTCACTGGTTCTACTGACCAGTTCTTAATGATTGCTTTGCAAATTTCTTAGAACGTGAAACTGCATTTAAATAACTTTCCAAGAAGAAGTCCAGAGCAGGGCACCAGTTCCCAGTCCTCAGTCATCCTTAGATGGAGCCTGCTTTCTAGTTCAGGAGCTCTGTGTCATCTTTGATGCTGAGAGTTTTCTCATTTAAAAGGGGAAAAAAAGGCTGATGATAAAAGTAACCAATACTACAGACAATTTGGAAAATGTAGAAAAGCATCAGGAAAAAAAGAGAAAAATTTTCTAATTCCACTATTTAGAGACAACCACGATAAGCATTTGAGTTTTCTTATGCACTTTTTTCTTTTAGACTTTCACTTTAAAAAAAAAAAAAAAAAAAGTCCTGGGTAAAAAAACAAGAACAAAACAACAGACAAAAATCAAGACAATATCTTTTCTTTTTACAGATACAAGCATGATGTAATTATTACAACAGCTACACTTACGTGGTGCTTACCATGATCACCACAGCCACCACACAATGTCACTTCCCTAGGGATGTGTCACTGTGTGTGTTTTACATGTGGCTCCTTCAGTTCTCAGTGACCTGGAGCAAGATGTACTGTCCTCACCATTTATAATAAAGAACAAGGCAGAGATTAGCTGCCACAATTATAGATACAATTACAGATAACACAGAAAGCTGTATCCCTAGATTTTCTTGATTTCTTTTCTTTTTTAAAGATTATTTTATTTGAGAGAGAGCACAAGTGGTGGGGGCAGAGGGAGAGGGAGAGAGAGAATCTCAAGCAGACTCCCCACTGGGCAAGGAGCCTGATGTGGGACTCGATCCCAGGACCCTGAGAGCACGACCTGAGCTGAAACCAAGAGTCAGACACTCAACTGACTGAGCCACCGAGGAGCCCCTCGATTTCTTTTCAAATGCATATAAATGATAACACTAATTCATTCAGTCAAGAAAGATCTTTTGAGCATTTACTTCATACCTAGTACTCTGGATATCACAATGCACGAGGTAAATACGTTCCCTGTGGGGAACGTTTTTGCATCCAGTAGCTGTGATTTACTGAGCGTTTGCCATGCCAGGTATCAGGTTAAGTGCTTTGTAGGAGTTACCTCATTTAATGTCAAAAAACCATTTTCCCTAATTGGGATTACATAATCTACACAGTTTTGTATCCTATACATCTAACATTATATTTCAACATTTCTCCTTTCTTTAAAAAATCTTAAACATGATTCTTTTATTTTTTTTAAAGATTTTATTTATTTGACAGAGAGAGACACAGCGAGAGAGGGAACACAAGCAGGGGGAGTGGAGGGGGGAGAGGCAGGCTTCCCGCTGAGCGGGGAGCCCGATGCGGGGCTCGATCCCAGAACCCTGGGATCATGACCCGAGCCGAAGGCAGATGCTTAACGACTGAGCCAGCCAGGCGCCCCTTAAACATGATTCTTAATGGTTGTGTAACAACCACACTGTATTAAGATATCAGTATTTATTTATCTACTCATTATCATGTCTCACTCTGGAGCTAGCCTCCTCCTGGATTTCCTCCTTCTCAACAATCATGAGTAACAAGAGGAAGGTGGGGGCACCCCATTTTCTTCAACTATGGGTAGCATTAGATATACTACACTCTTTCCAATGGCCCTCTCTCCTTTGTGACTGCATTTTTTTTTTTTAAGATTTTATTTATTTATTTATTTGACAGAGAGAGGCACAGCGAGAGAAGGAGCACAAGCAGGGAGAGAGGGAGAGGGAGAAGCAGGCTTCCCGTGGAGCAGGGAGCCCAATGCGGGGCTCGATCCCAGGACCCTGGGATCATGACCTGAGCCGAAGGCAGACGCTTAACAACTGAGCCACCCAGGCGCCCCGTGTGAGTGCATTTAAAAGCAGAACTCTGAAGCTGATATATAGGAAGCAAAGTCATAAGAATGATGAGAATTTCAGCCAAAACAGCTGCTCTCCATGGGCTGGCAGGTCCCTGGGCTCCAATGATGCCAGCCAGCTGGTTAAGTCAGTCTTGCTCCCAAACACAGCTGTCTGAAAACAGCATTATCATATTTTCCCTAGGGGACTGAATTTTCAACAAAATAAACTGAATCACAACATAGCTGAGTTCAAGTGGGGCGAAGGGGTAAGAAGAGAAGGGGACTTAAAGCAAAAACAACAGAAACGTCCTGGCTTCCAGAGGAGTTGGCACCCTAAAAATAAGTACTGGGGCTATACGTATGTGCAGTCCCCTGAGTTCTGCAAGGGAAGCAAAAAGAAACTATGGTTGTTGTTGAGTTCAAGGACCACAGACTCTAAGAGGCTTTCTCCCCGCTTTCCTGTGTTCCCCAAACACTGCTGAGCTGCAAGGCTCCTCCCAGGTGACCACCTCATGATGCACTATTATCACTGACATTTAAACCTTGCTCCTGTATGTGAGCATCTGTGCCTGGCAGGCAGCGTGCTAGGCACTTCATGTGACTTCTAAGCCACTCAACTCAACATATTAAGTAGGGTGAGTCTGCCACAGGAGAAATCTCCTGACCTGCTGCACAGCGAAGCAGGAGAGAGGCCGGACCTGGAATGTAGGGCTGAGGCTCCTCACATCTGCACTCTCCACGTCCTCAGCTGTCATTACTCATTCCGCTCAGCTTTTCCAGCCAATCTTCACTCCAGAAGCCATGCCCCAAATGGATAAGCATGGATTTCAACAAATAATGGTGTCCCTTAGCACTCCTCTGCCTCTGCCCTCGACTATAGCACTCTCAGCCACCCCTAGCTGAAAACGTCTGAAAATGAATTCAGACTTGTGATAGGCCTCCACCCCCTTACGTCTGGCCTTCAAGTTTTACTTCTCTTTTCGTAACTGGAAATGAGCTCCCTGGGCAACATTACAATGGGCACAAAGAGAATGGATACACATTTTAATTTCAACTATCACCAAAAATGTGAGGTTATATTCCTACCTAAAAAACATCGGAAATGCTGGAGAAGCAAATAGGTTGTGAGGAAAGGCTGCAGATTTCGGCAGATGCGTGAAAAATTGCTTCCAAAACAATGTTTATACCCAGCCAAGCAGGAGGAGACATGGAACCCAGGAGAGTCGTTCATTCTGCACACTGGTAGGTTTCTTTAAAAGAAAAGCTGCGAGACCATATCGGAACCAGTTCTAGGAGATTTTTACCACGCGTGAGACCTACAGTCCCAAAGTCCAGTTCTCCGGGCATCACTGTGAGCCAGGCCCACGCTGCTCAAGAGCTCTGATGCGGCCGCTCTTGCACCACAAAATGTCGAGTGCCAGACACAAGATTACCTCCGCTGGGATTACACATGTCTCCGGAGTGCAAGGGCACCTCTGTAAAGGTGAGCAAGTCAGGGCAGATGATACAAACTTACGTTAAGGAGTCTGGAAAATCACTCCCCTAATGACTGTTGTTCATTTAACTCTGAAACTTGCACAAATACAAGCTGTTTAAAGCCTGCCTACTGTCTGGCTACTTTCTAGCGAGGCCAAGAGTTTGTCTCCGTGCTAAAAGCTCAAGCTGGAATTCTGATGACAATTCGAATTTTTCACTTTTGTTGGTTATTCCAAACCTGTTTTGTTTGGAAGAGGTAATTTCAAGAAAATCAAATAAGTTTCCTTCTTTCTGTTGAGAAGAATACGAATGACCCTGCTGAATGACGCAAGTGTGAGTTCCTATCATTTATGAGCAATGGATTTATGGAGCTCTACCACATGGCTGGAACAATCCACACATTTCACAGAGACTTTCCAAATTAACACAAAAAGGGGGGGGGGATTTATTCTGTGCCCCCAAGTGCCCTATTAATTCTGTCCAAACTTACTAATTCTGAGTTAGGAACACTTTAGAATTAAAAGTTACTGGGAAGGCCATAAGCCTTCTGGAAGCTACTGAGGCATAAAACTGTAACATAAAAAAACAACTCCGGATATCTCTTCCAAGTATTCCCAATTTCAAGCTTCCTAAAAGTGGAATTAGCAGACCCGTAAATACCAAGCTTCTGTTTCCCCTTAAGCTACAAGGGAGAGTGGTCAGGCTTCTGCAGTCACACAGGCCGGGGCCGGGTCCAGGTTCTGCTGCTTATTCAGTGGGCAACACCTACAGCTACACTGACCTCACCATCACTGAGAGCAGCATCATTGCCATATCACCACAAAAAGTCCAGCAAAGGAATTCACAGCCAGCATGTGGGTAGAAAGCAAAGAGGCTTTGGAGCTAGACAGACTTGGGTTCAACTCAGGCAAGAGCCTCAACGCCTCTGAGCCTGTTTTCCTTGTGCAAATGAGGATCTAAAATCTGCCTCGCAGAGCTATTGAAAAGTTAACACACATTAAGTGCTTAGCACAGAACCTAGCAAAGAGTAGACAAGAAGTGGTAGTGGTATAAATGACAATAAAATAACCAAAATTCCTTGAGTGCTCATCATGCTAAGTTATTTACATGAATTATCTCATTATTTTACTCACAATAACTCTGTAAGAAAGGTACTATTATTCTTGGCATCATGAAGGTAAGGAAACTAAGACTCAGTGAGATGAACTGATTCATCCGAGGTCACATACTTGAGTGCAGCTGGACTGGAATTTAGCATGACCATCTGG